ATAGCAAAAAGTAAAAAATATTTTTTTTATTAGTTTTTTTTTTCATTCATAGCATAAAAAAGTAAAAAACTCAGTGATGATCAGATACCACCAATACCAATACTACCATTTGTGTACAGTGTTGCATGACCAACCAATTGTCGGTTTAAATAGCGCAGCGCCCTATAACAAAAAACGGTCTAGGTCTAGTCATGATGGGGGTAAATCTTCTGGAAGGCAAGTGGTTAAGGAGGTTTTTTATAATTTTTTTTCTAGATGAAGTAGTCTTTTGTTTTCAACCCAACTTAAAGCGGAGCTCCACCCAATAGGGGAAGTTCCGCTTTAAGGCCTCGTCCCCCACTCCCCGTTAAGGATTGGCACCTTGGGGAACCGGGTGCCCGACTTTGACAGGTACCCGCATCCACTGCCGCTGCGATCGCCTAGGCAGACGTTTTTCTTCCCCTTCCCCACAGTCTTCTGGGAGATGTGACATTCAAAATGTACTGCACTTGCAATCTACAGCAGGTGTCATTGCAATGCTAATGACACTCCAAATGGAGGTTGCAAATGCAGTGCATTTGCCTGCACCAGATCACATGGCACTGAAGTATCATGTGATCCACTTTCCATGCGTTTGTTTTAAGTGGTGCATGTACTATGTTTGGTGTGGTGCACTGCAATTTCAGCCCATTCAAATGAATCAGCTGAAACTGCGTTCAAATCGCACAAGAAAGACAGTATGTTCCTGTGTGATTCGTGATGTGAACTGATCCTCAGACAGAATGTGCTGTTCATTTCTATTCACAAGTATGATGAGCATTTTTTTTATATTATGCCTGGATACATGGTGCATGAAGGCCTCCTTTACAAAGGAGCCCGGGGTCTTAACATCATAATATACAGGTGTATTTCACTGCCTGGAAAACACAGGTGCTGTGTACAGCCGCACATATATGAAGCGGTTGGCACACACCAGTACTTACATATGTATGCATACTGACATACAGCCCTATAGGTCTGTATGCATACCAGTTGTATGCAACTACTGGCGTATACCCATATACAGCCATTGATTTCTATGTGTGTCTGTATGCAGCACCTGTGACTTCCAGGCAGGGAAATACATCCAACTTGTATATTGTTAGGGTGGCTTTCACACTGACCCGATGTGATTTTGCTAAAATCGCAGCTAGTCCATGGTTTTCGTGCGGTTTCAAAAATCGCACCAAGAAGCATGTTGGCGTTTTGGTGTTCTTTCTGAAACTGCACCAAAACCACAGATCGTCATGGAAGTCTATGGGAAAACACCGCTAACCCACATGAAAACCGTAGGTTAGCTGCACTTCAGCAAAAGCACAGTGGGGCAGTGCGAAGCTGCACTTAGGGTCTCCGGTGCACCTGTTCAAGAGAACTAAGGCAACCTATTAACTTTGACTGAACAGCTTCAATATACGTTCAATATAGGTGCATTTCTTCATACTTGGACCAATGTACACTATATTGCCAAAAGTATTGGGACTCCCCTCCAAGTCATTGGATTCAGGTCATCCAATCACCTCCATAGCCACAGGTGTATAAGATCAAGCACTTAGGCATGCAGATTGCTTCTACAAACATTTGTGAAAGAATGGGTCGCTTTCATTGAATGCAAGCGTGGTACTGTGATAGGTTGCCACCTGTGCAATAAGTCCATCCTTGACATTTCCTTACTACAAAATATTCCACCGTCAACTGTTAGTGGTTTTATAACAAAGTGGAAGCAACTGAGAACAACAGCAACTCAGCCATGAAGTGGTAGGTCACGTATAATGACAGAGCAGGGTCAGCGCATGCTGAAGGGGACAGTGCGCAGAAGTCGCTAACTGTAGAGTCAATAGCTAAAGACCTCCAAACTTCCTGTGGCCTTCAGATTAGCACAACAACAGTGCGTAGAGAGCTTCATGGAATAGGTTTCCATGTCCAAGCAGCGGTATCCAAGCCTTACATCACCAAGTGCAATGCAAAGTGCTGGATGCAGTGGTGTAAAGCACGCCACCACTGCACTCTAGAGCAGTGGAGACGTGTTATCTGGAGTGACAAATCACGGAGGATATGTCTGGTTTTGGTGGTTGCCAGGAGAACTGTACTTGCCTGACTGCATTGTGCCAAGTGTAAAGGTTGGTGGAGGGGGGATTATGGTATGGGGTTGTTTTTCAGGGGTTGGGCTTGACCCCTCAGTTCCAGTGAAGGGAACTCTTTAAGACATCAGCATAGCAAGACATTTTGGACAATTTCATGCTCCAAGCTTTGTGGGAATAGCCCCTTCCTGTTCCACCATGACAAAGCAAGGTCCATAAAGACATGGATGAGTGAGTTTGGGGTACTTGACTGGCTTGCAGAGTCCTGATCTCAACCTGACAGAACACCTTTGGGATGAATTAGAGCGGAGACTGTGAGCCAGGCCTTTTCGGCCGACATCAATGCCTGACCTCACAAATGTGCTTCTGGAAGAATGGTCAAATATTCCCATAGACACCCTCCTAAACCTTGTGGACAGCCTTCCCAGAAGAGTTGAAGCTGTTATACCTGCAAAGGGCGGAGCCAACTCAATATTGAACCCTACAAACTAAGACTTTAATGCCATGAAAGTTCATGTGCGTGTAAAGGCAGGCGTCCCAATACTTTTGGCAATATAGTGTATCTAAAGGTGAAACTCAAAAAATTAGAATATCGTGCAAAAATTCATTTATTTCAGTAATGCAACTTAAAAGGCGAAACTAATATATGAGATAGACTCATTACATGCAAAGCAAGATAGTTCAAGTCGTGATTTGTCATAATTGTGATGATTATGGCTTACAGCTCATGAAAACCCCAAATCCACAATCTCAGAAATTTAGAATATTGTGAAAAGGTGCAATATTCTCGGCTCAAAGTGTCCCACTCTAATCTGCTAATTAAGCCATAACACAAGCAAAGGGTTCCTCAGCCTTTAAATGGTCTCTCAGTCTGGTTCAGTAGGAATCACAATCATGGAAAAGACAGTTGTGCAGAAAACCATCATTGACACCCTCCATAAGGAGGGAAAGCCTCAAAAGGTAATTGCAAAAGTTGGATGTTCCCAAAGTGCTGTATCAAATCACATTAATAGAAAGTTATGTGGAAGGGAAAAGTGTGGAAGAAAAAGGTGCACAAGCAGCAGGGATGACAGCAGCTTGGAGAGGATTGTCAGGAAAAGGCCATTCAAAAGTGTTGGGGACTTTCACAAGGAGTGGACTGAGGCTGGAGTCAGTGCATCAAGAGCCACCACACACAGACGGATCCTGGACATGGGCTTCAAATGTCGTATTCCTCTTGTCAAGCCGCTCCTGAACAGCAAACAACGTCAGAAGCGTCTTACCTGGGCTAAAGAAAAACAGACCTGGTCTGTTGCTTAGTGGTCCAAAGTCCTCTTTTCTGATGAAAGCAATTTTTGCATCTCATTTGGAAACCAAGGACCCAGAGTATGGAGGAAGAATGGAGAGGCACGCATTGCAAGATGCTTGAAGTCCAGTGTGAAGTTTCCACAGTCTGTGTTGATTTGGGGAACCATGTCATCTGCTGGTGTTGGTCCACTGTGCTTCATTAAGTCCAGGGTCAACGCAGCCGTCTACCAGGAGATTTTGGAGCACTTCATGGTTCCTTCCGCAGATGAGCTTTATGGGGATGCTGACTTCATTTTCCAGCAGGACTTGGCACCTGCCCACACTGCCAAAAGCACCAAAACCTGGTTCAATGACCGTGGGATTACTGTACTTGATTGGCCAGCAAACTCGCCTGACCTGAACCCCATAGAGAATCTATGGTGCATTGCCAAGAGAAAGATGAGAGACATGAGACCGAACAATGCAGAAGAGCTGAAGGCCGCTATTGAAGCATCTTGGTCTTCCATAACACCTCAGCAGTGCCACAGGCTGATAGCTTCCATGCCATGCCGCATTGAGCAATAATTACTGCAAAAGGGGCCCAAACCAAGTACTGAGTACATATGCATGCTTATACTTTTCAGAGGTCTTATATTGTTCTATGTACAATCCTTGTTTTATTGATTGCATGTAATATTCTAATTTTCTGAGATTGTGGATTTGGGGTTTTCATGAGCTGTAAGCCATAATCATCACAATGATGACAAATCACGGCTTGAACTATCTTGCTTTGCATGTAATGAGTCTATCTCATATATTAGTTTCACCTTTTAAGCTGCATTACTGAAATAAATGAACTTTTTCACGATATTCTAATTTTTTCGAGTTTCACCTGTAGGTGTGTTCCACACCTGGCCAATGCCCTTGGAAGCTGGAAATGACTGAAGTAAGCTCCACTTACTTCTGGGCCCATGCTGAACAGTCGGCCTGATGCCTTGGCATCATGCTCACCACCTTATCCAATCAGAGAACACTTTGCATTCTTTCAGTAAATGCAAAACTATCAGTTAACATTGTTCCCAGCTATCACTGAAGACTGAGGAAGTAATAAAAAATAAGGAAATAAAAGTCTGAAGAAAGAAAACTAATGCAGCCACTAAATCTAGGACTGCAATATATTATTGTTTTGGGGTTTATACACTTTAATTTATAATGTTTTTGTTTGTTTTTTTAGCTATGGTTATTATATTTATACATTTTTGCCTTTCCTAGTAGAAAATATCGGTGACTCCGGAAATAAACATGAATAACAATACAGACCTGGCCCACCTGCAGCAAGTACTTCACTCCATTTCCTGCACAAGAAACTTATTTTTCCTCCATTTGACTGCAACCAGAGACAGCCGGGGCCCTCACAGGGGGGTTCCCACCATCACCAACACACTGAAAATACATATTGTAATTCTTCTGCCGAAATTTTACACTGCACCTTTTATCACTATGATTTCTATATGTTCTCCTGGGCAGGGCTGGGGATTGCAGCCCTGGCTGTGCCTGAATGGCAATCAAAACAAGGCCCTCTGGGTAGTCCCCTAGGGCCCCACCCTGCCCTCTATATAAACCAGAGCAGGCTGCGTGTCAGCAGTAAACAAAGTGTGAGAGGATTATCATGGCTACAGAGGTGATTTTGCAGACCCTGCCACTGAAGGGGGGACACCTTCCTGCAGGTAGGTCGCTGCTGTGCAGTCTGCAGTGTAATAGATTGGGAATCAAACAAGTTCCAGGTGGATTTCTGATGTAATGAGTGTTGCTAATGGTAGATTTGTTCTTAGGAAAGTTCCAATGTTTGCGGACTTGTCTCTTGGAATGTCTTGTTCAGTCTACTGAGTGGCCCACGTTTTACAGGTTACCCCGTCTATTGATTGCTAAATCTCTGCACTAAGCTCTACACGCCGGGCTATCTGCTATGATTGGTGCAGGCAGATCTGTGGGCAGACGTTTGCTTGCTAGGGAATATTTGTTTGTGTGTGTGTGTGTGTGTGGGGGGGTTTTTTTTTTTTTTTTCCCTCCTCAACCTTCCTGATACTTGACAATACTGAGTAAAGCAGTCTAGCAACTTTGTAGCCAATCACATTTGCTCTATGGTCTAATTATAGTTCACAGGTGTGTGTGTATTTATTACAGGTACTTATATAGCGCCATCAATTTACGCAGCGCATATATATATATATATATATATATATTCCATTCACATCAGTCCCTCACCCTCAAGGGGTATACAATCTAAGGTCCCTAACTCACATTCATACATACTAGGGCCGATTAACCTACCAGCATGTCTTTGGAGTGTGGGAGGAAACCTGAGTACCTGGAGGAAACCCACGCAGGCACAGGGAGAACATGCAAACTCCAGGCAGGTGGTCTGACCCCCCCCCCCCCCCCCCCAAGTTAGGATAGTAAAGTGGGCCACCTGGGTTTAGAAAGTTTGGAGACCCCTGCTCTAGACTAGAGGGAGATTAAGGCCTTGTGCACACTGCTGCTTATAAATGTGCGTTCAGAAGCGTGTGGGGTGGGGGGGGGGGTTTGTCCAGAGCCCCTGATCTCCACTCCATTAAAGCCTATGTGTCCATGCTTACATAAAGGTTGATTTACTAAAACTGAAGAGTGCAAAATATGGTACATCTGTGTATGGTAGCCAATTGGCTTCTAACTTCAGCTTGTTCAATGAAGCTTTGACAACAAAACCTGGAAGCTGATTGGTTTCTGTGCAGAGCTGTACCAGATTCTCTACTCTTCAGCTTTAGTGAATTAACCCCATAGACTCCAGCACACTTGTGTATCGTGAGTCCATGACATCAGTCTCTACTTGCATCAGGGTCTCCATTAAATTCCCCCCTTGCATCAATTGCCTCAATCAAGGCTGGCTCAGTGAATGCACTTTCAGAGACCTGGGGAGGCACAACCCACACCATAACCCCACTAGATCCTGGTACGGTGCACAGTCTAATTTAATAGCAGTATATAATTTATTTAATTTTGTCATCTAGGATGATTGTTTATTGAATAATGGCATAGAATACTAACAGCAACAAACAAGCAGAACAGTGAGACAACAATATCTGAAGACTGAAAGCAATCAAATACAAAATAAGTGCAACCAATCAGTCGTAGAGGCGCAGGGCTCACAGCAATGTCGGTGGCTACGCAACCAGTTAACAAATAAATAAAACCTCAACAAAGTAGCATATTCATTGTTCTGTCCAGGGTTGCCAAACCTTATGGGACTTCCCAGGACAACCTCTATTAATGTGTTAACGCTGCATTAATGGCCGCTCCCCACGAGACCACTGAGGGGTGGTCCAGTTATGAAGTATATCCTTCTTGGCATAATATAATGGGTAGGAAAGAAGCAATTTGGTGTGGCGAGGCCTCTGTTCATCATCTTGTATTCCCAACAATGTAAGCTCAGGAGAGAGTGAAAGGGACAGCCTCAGCTGGGTGCTGACACAGGTAAACACCTCTGTCCAAAACATATGAAAGTGGGTTCCCTCCATGGAATGACAATGGGGACAGTCGGCGGAAATGGCAGTCTATTTTAATTGGCCTATAAAAAAAAAATATCACTGTGTGTGACAAGGAGATTCTAATTACTATCCTGTGTTACATACAGTAGAGGAAGCAGTTTGTTTGGTTAGAGCAGTATTTCTTTGTTGGCCTGTCGCTGCAATATGAGACTTGGTATTTCTTGAGCCCTGTGTCCACCAACTGTGCAGATTTTAGACAGGTGCACTTTTAAGAGCCGCCTGGAAAACATTTTCTGTGCTCATGTAAGCAGTTAATAGACCAGCTGTCATCCCAATATCTTCTGCTGGGTGAATCCATTCACACTGGTCACTGATGATTATCCAATCACCAGACTGGCATCCAGGGATTGGTCAGACTATTGAACCCGCCTGCTCTACAATAATCATTGTTTGCTTATTGAGGTCATTAAAGGAACTTTTTTAAATTCTTCTTTTTTTTTTTTTTTTTTTTTTTGTCCTTCATGATGAATCCTTTTCTAAAGGAAATGGTATGAAAAGGCTGTTCTAGAAGCAGCAGATGTATTTCCTGAGCCACCACATAAATTGGGGGGGGTGGCTGCTCCCTTCTCGCACAGGTGTCTTGCTATGTGACTGTTCTGCAGTGTGCTTGTGTCTGCTGGTATGTTTTAAAACGGAAATGGGATCACCTGTGTACGTCACAGCTCTCTGTACAAGTGTACTACACCTATCTAACCTGCACTAGTCCAGACATGCCTACATCTAATGAATGTTCAGCCTTTTATGATTGTTTTTTTGGCTGACATTTGGTTTTAAACAAAAACCTTTTTTTTTTTTTTTTTTTTTTTTTTTTTTCTTTTAGTAAAAGCAGGAGGGATGCGGGTCACCAAAAAACAAGGGAATGAAGACAGTGGGACATCAGAGAGGAAGAAATCCACAGCGGACAAGCCAAGGTACTTCTAGCTGCTCAATCTCAGAATCCTCAGGGAGGTCACAAGAAAATGGTTTAGAGACCAAGTCGTGCTTCGCCTGGTCATGATTCCTTCATTTTTAAGATCTCCACGAATTCACAGTCAGACTTTGTAAGCCTGTGATGCAGTCTGGTGTTTTTTTTTTTTTTTTTTTGTTCCTCAACTACTTTATTTCCTGGTTTATCCCTCAAGCAGAATCATATTTCCACTTCCGTAATCTGACTATGCAGGTCGATGTGGAAGGAGATTGCACTGTTGCTTTTTCACTCTTGGGGGGGCTGTCCAAATAAGAACAAGTTGTGTTTTATTCTACTACTGTATATATTAAGTGATTATGTTATAGGGTCATGTGTAGAACAATAAACAGGAAGAAAAGGGTGAAACCTGACCACGTGGAAGAGAAACAAACGTTCTACTGCATTGCCCTAGCAGATACTCATTCATTCAGATTTGTTTTTTTTTGCTTGACTTTTGATATGCAGGAAAGACTTATTGTGTATGGGTTTTTTTTTTTTTTGTTTTCGTTTTTTTTTTTTTTTTTTTTTTTGCCAAGGCCACTACTGGGGTTCAACTCTAGCAGTAAATCTAATTTCACTGGAATAGTACACAAATTGATTCAGGGGATTTGTTCAGCCCAATTTTGGTGGCTTGGGAGAACGGGGGGGGGGGGGGGGGGGGGGGGGCAGTGATGGCTGTAATTCCACACTAATATAGATTTTTCTTCTCCTAATATAACAGCCCTGTGGTGAATTTAACGAAGATGCAGGCTGTGAATATTCTGGCTGGGGCTCTGGAGAAGGTTGGTATTGCTGATTTTGATTAATTTGGGGTGGGGTGGAACTTTTTGCATTCTAGGCACCTATTTGCACACTAGTTTACAGCAAAATGAGACCCTTTTCACTTTGACTGTCAGTCCAATACAGTGACAGGAGTGGTCTATATGCTAGTGTTTCTCAACAGTCTTTTCAGTCAAGGCACCCTTTAAAATTATGAACAGTCTTGAGGCACCCCATTCTAAAATATGAAAAAAACTATATTCATACCTTTTTTATACATCACAACCCCATCCACACGCTTAGGACACCCAGCCTTATGCCTGGGTTCACATTGATGGTCTGGAATTTGCAGCGTTTTCTGTCTGAATTCCGTATCAGAATCGCACCCTGGTCATGCGAACTGCTGTGAGTGTGTATGTTTAACACCCTGAAATCGGTCTGCAAAAGCAGTGCGATGTACAGAATCGGATTGCATAGCTGTGAATAACCATGCGATCCAATTCTAGTGCCAACCCAAAAGGTCCCACACCTTTTTGGTGTGGCTGCAATGCGATTTTAGCCAGCCACAATGTATGGCTCAAATCACACCGCACACAAATCGCATGTGATACGCACAGGAATGTGGTGCGAATCACATGCGATGCACTACATGAGTGTGACCCTAGCCTAAGAGGTGATTTATTCTTCCATAGCAAATGCATGTTTGCACACAGGTACTGACTGATTATTTCATTGTTTCTCATCTCCCTCAGTTTTTCTCATTCACTGTGCTAATGTGACCTCAGCGCTGACAGAGGAGGCAAACAAGGATGCTGTGTAGGCACAGACATCCTCATTATCAACTTGTGATATCATTGGTTGTCAGGACGCCGGCGGCTAGGTCATAATTGGTGCACAATAAAAACCTGTGGCTTTGTGCAACTAAAAGGCAGGCTTTTTCCACCCTCTGGCCTGAATACACGTTTTGGGCAACTTTTAGACCTTTTGCCAAGGCACCCCCTGAAGAAACCTCATGGCACTCAAGGGTGCCTGGGCACCCTGGCTAAAAAAGGCTGCAGTATGCATAATTGTTCTGTTGTGCTGAATTGAAGGATCATCATGTTTAGTGTCTTCTGTAGGGGCTGCATAACACATTGTGATAAAGCATTGCATAGGGTGACTTGGGACTTGAGCTTAACACTTAACTGTCTGTATTGAACACAACCATATCGTACAAATACATGATTTTAAAAATGCTTACCTTTTTAGGGGAGGCCCAGTACCTTGAACCATATTCTTGCTGTTACCCATTGGCATGTTTAATCCTGCACAGGACAGTAAATGAGTCCATAGTGCTACCCACATGGAAGAGGGCAATGATTTCCCTGCCATGTGCCCTTTAACATTTGAGTGGGTGCTTTGGGAGGGTTATACCCTTTTGGGATCCCTCTCAAAGCACAAGACTTGGTTCTTAGACCTTGGCTCTTGGCATCTGAAGGATTCGGGAGAGGGTGCCAGCAAGAACGGTTTGTGCTACCTCCTTCCTGGTGAACTGGGTTTTGAGGTAACTTTTTAACTGTTTGTAGGCATGGATATGTAAAAACAATATGAAACTGTTACAAACTTTGTTCCAGTGGCATCTTGGATGACCCATGACTTTTTATGTAAAAATGCAGTACACACTGCCGGACAAGTGTGTGTGTGTGTGTGTGTGTGTGTGTGTGTGTGATTGATTAAAGTGGGGGTCACTTCACAGCATAGGGCTTATAGTTTGGTACCTTCCCCTTCTGCCATCCTTTATCCAAAATGGATCTGAAGGTATACTGAAGAGAAAGTGGGATTAAATAAGCCCCATTGCTGGGATCAATGTCGGCAAGAACGCCCAGCACTGGTCAGTGGCAGTACTTGAACACTCTGAATCAATGTTCAGTGGCTAATTACCTGATCACGCTCCCATGCTGTTCTCGCAGGACATCAGGCTGGAACTCCTACTGTGGGGCAGAGGTCATACCACCTTGCAGTACTGGCACTCTTTTTGGTGCCTGCTGCCAAATGCCACATGCCAATTGTTCTGGATCCTATGGAACAGTGTCCAGGATCTAGGGACAATTTCACAAGACACATGGGCACTGTGCTACCCCCCCTTGCCACTCTCTGCAGCCAAAAATAGTCTTGGTTTTAGACATGCTAATGTGGATCAGTATCGGCACAGGAGGAGACCTTGTGAGGAAGATGTTGTAAATTCTAAATTGCCTGTCGGGGCATAGTATTCAGATTAGTACGCTGTCTTGGGAAGGTAGATTTGGCAGCAAGAAGGGATGACCTGCTATAGGGAAATGGTAAGCTGAAGTTGCGTACAACTACTAAAACCTTTGCACCCAGACCAGTCTGCTCCCTTTAGGCTAGTTTAAGACTGTTCATGTGGTGTTTGCCTTGTAAGCTGCGTGCGTATGTGTAAATGGGGCCCATATAGTTTCCCTTTCACACTAAACTGCAGTGCATAGATGAGAACCACCCCTATAGGAATAAATGGGATTTATACTTGTCCATTTTTACTGGAGCAAAATTCAGGAATTTTGCTCCATGAAAAGTGTCAAGTATATTAATGTCCTTAATGTCTGGTTTGTTTGACTCTGCCTCTTTGGCTCCCACTGTTCTGTGGCCCTTTTTTAGCTACCCAATCAGTCCATTCTGTGCCCAGATTGGTGTTTGGATTGATCCACATTGCTTCCCCATCAGCTTGCTGAACTGCTATGCACCCTTCCTGCAACTGGATTGGTCCACTCTCTGCCCCTATGACACTTGACTGTAAATGGTTTAATCTTAGTTGGGGACTGTCACTTTCCCCGGTGCAATAAAGCTTGATTTATATATAATATATATATATATATATATATATATATATATATAAATTAAAATTAATTTTTTTTTTTTTGCTTGCCAGCCCTTATGCAATTTGTAATGTGTTCCCTGTTTTAGCCATGTGACTTGCACTAATGTGCTGTGCTTTAGTGTATATAACATGACACCAAGCTCACAGAAGGCTGTTGCGACTGTAATCAGCCCGATGACTACTAACAATGATATTGTAGTAACAATACTGCTTACCACATCCAGAAACCTGCTTTGTGTTCTCGTCAATTACTTTGCTCTCTTGTGTAATGGTACTCACGGGGATTCCTAATGTAGGATCTAAAGCTCCCCTATGTTGTCTTTGGCCAAGTTAAAGGGGATCCCTTGCGAGTGACAGTTTATTGGAGCTGTAGAGGTGTCTCCTTGTTTTTATTAGATCAAGTATGCTGGGTGATGTAAGATCACTTGAAGATGAGAACCAAGTAAATATTCTGGAGGAAAAATGTAATTCTGAAGTTTAATATTGGACATTTTATGTCCCTAGAACTTCAGGACTGCTTGCAGGTTTGGACTTTGATGGACTTTCTATCCAGTCACCTAAACTCCATTTCTTGACCGTACACCAGACTTTCAAATACAAAGTGATTGGCCAATTCTTTCATTGGTTGTAGTAAAGTTGGTACAGACAGTTTAATGTATCTTTATCTAAAAATATTTATTTGTGTGACAGATGGCAGTGGCTACAGTTGGAGCTTTAGCTAGCACTAGTTTGTCTCTTCCATTGCAGAATAGATTACACTTCCATTTCCATCCACCAGCCGTCAGCCAGAGAAGATTGGATTCAGTTTGATGTGATGCTTTCCTCATTGCGAGCTGTCTGTTCAGTCTCGGAGAAAAGAATGAAGAGCACAAAAAACACAGGCGCAGTTACCTGTGAGAAGCAGAACAGCTGCATGCTCTAATTTCCCGTCATTTTAGGAGCTGGTGCTGCCCTGACTTTTATTTCACAAATGTAGAATGGCACAAGGCAATGTCTATCCATCAGCTGTCTGTTTTATCACGAAGACAAGACACCGTGGCCTTCAGACAGTGTATGGAACATTTGATCGTTCTGCAGACTGGCAGATTATCTCTGTGATAGATGTGCAACAACCTGTCTTACCTCTTACATATTGTTTTGCCCATTTTAGAACAGTCTAGTGTCATTGCCTTGCCAACATAAGGCTTTTTAATGTCTTTCTGAAATGCAGGCTATATATACTGCTCAAAAAAATTAAAGGAACACATCCAATCTCAATGGGGGAAAAATATCATGCTGGATATGTATACTGGTATAGACTGGGTAATGTGTTTAAGGTAAGGATGCCCCATCATTTGATGGAAATGAAAATTCTCAACCTACAGAGGACTGAATTCAAAGACCCTGAAAATCAAAGTGAAAAAATGATGCAGCAGGCTAGTCCATTTTGCTGAAATATCATTGCAGCAACTCAAAATGGTTCTCAGTAGTTTGTATGGCCCCCCCCCCCAGGTGCTTGTATGTATGCCTGACAACGTCAGGGCATGCTCCTAATGAGACAGTGGATGGTGTCCTGAGATTTCCTCCCAGATCTGGAGCAGGGCATCACTGAGCTCCTGGACAGTCTGAGGTGCAACCTGACGGCATCAGATGGACCAAAACCTGATATCCCAGAGGTGTTCTATTTGGATTTTGGGTCAGGTGAGCTTAGGGGCCATTCAATGGTATCAATTCCTTCATCCTCCAGGAACTATCTGCATACTCTTGCCACATGAGGCTAGGTATTGTGCATTAGGAGGAACCCAGGACCCACTTCACCAGCATAGGGTCTGACAATGGGTCCAAGGATTTCATCCCGATACCCAATGGCAGTCAGGGTGCCATTGTCTAGCCTTTTCAGAGGTCTGTGCGTCCTTTCCATGGATATGCCTCCCCAGACCATCACTGACCCACCACCGAAATGGTCACGCTGAATGATGGTACAGGCAGCATAATGTTCTCCATGGCTTCTCCAGACCCTTTCACATCTGTCACATGTGCTCAGGGTGAACCTGCTCTCATCTGTGAAAAGCACAGGGCACCAGTGGCAGACCTGCCAATTCTGGTGTTCAATGGCAAATGTCAATCGAGCTGTATGGTTGGGCAGTGAGCACAGGGCCCACTAGAGGATGTCAGGCCACCCTCACAAAGTCTGATTGTTTGGTCACACATTCACACCAGTGGCATGCTGGAGGTCATTTTGTAGGGCTCTGCCGGTGCTCATGCTATTCCTCCTTGCACAAATGAGCACATACCAGTCCTGCTAATGGGTTAAGGACCTTCTACAGTCCTGTCCAGCTCTCCTAGAATAACTGCCTGTCTCCTGGAATCTCCTCCATGCTCTTGAGACTGTGCTGGGAGACACAGCAAACATTCTGGCAATGACATGTATTTGTGCCATCCTGGAGGAGTTAAACTGCCTGTGCAAACTCTGTAGGATCCAGATATCGCCTCATGCTACCAGTAGTAACACTGACCCTAGCCAAATGCAAAACTAGTGAAAGACAGTCAGAAAAGATGAGTAAGGGAAGAATGGTCAGTGGCTTCAATGTTTCATTGGAGGCATGATGGATTCCTGAAGAGATGAGTTTTCAGGGATTGCCTAAAGGTTGCCAGAGTACAGGATAGCCAAACAGATTGAGGTAGAGCATTTCAGAAGAGGGGAGAGGCTCTGACAACGAGAGAAGACTAGCTTGAGATCATGATGGGAACGGAGGACTGTTTTGGTGATATTTGGAGGAGATTGATGTCACTCTGGGGCAGAGTTTTGAATAGCTTTGCATGTTAGCATTTTGGATTTAACTTGCTGGCCAATCAGAAGGCAGTGGAGGAATAGGCAGAGAGGGGTAGCGGACACTGAGCAGTTGGTAAGGTAGGCAAGTGTGGCAGCAGCATTCATGACGGCTTATGGAGAGGTACGCCCATGAGAATGGCGTTGCAATAGTCAAGGCAAGGGAGCGAATGAGTAGCTTGGTGATTTCATTAGTTAAGTAGGGTCAAATTTTAGAGATGTTACAGAGGTGAAGTCTACACGCTTTTGACAGCAATTGGATTTGCGGCCGAGGATAGGATAGGTCCAGGATTCCACCTAGTACCCTGGCTTGAGGGGAGGGACTAATAGTTGCATTACTGATCTTGATGGGAAAAGTCTTGGAGGGTATGAATGTAATAGCTGTTCGCTTTTTGAGAAATTTAGTTTAAGGAAGTGGTGTGACATCTAGGCTGCTCAGTTAGTTGGCAATGTGAAAGGAGACTGAAGGAGTAGATATATAATTAGGTCCATATATATTTGGACACCGCATACAGAGCCAAAAGTATGAAAATTGTGCCTGCGAGAATAAATTAAAACAAAACAATCCACTTGAATTTAAAGCTGAAAGTCTGCACTTCAAATTCAAGGGGTTGAACATAAAAGTACAAATTTTAGGAACTGCAATATTTTTTTTTTTTTTTTTTTTTTTTTTTTTTTGCCTTCAGCAAGTGAAATGCATGCTCAATTGGGTTGAGATCAGGTGACTGACTCGACCATTGCAGATCACGTATGCCCCATTGGGGATCTCTTCCATAACTTCATCTGTAGAACAGGAAGTGAGAGGAACATCTCATTCCAGTGACAGCTGTCCAAGCAGGCATTTCTGACTAAGTGTCCCCATTTAAGATTTTGTTCTTGGTTTCCTTCTTGCTTTCCATCCTATTGATGGTGGTCACCAATACAAATAAAGTGTGAACTGCCTCTCACAGGGACAGACTTCCATTAAAAACCAGATGGGATTCTAACCATTCTTCACTCTATCCAAATCCTATCATTTCTTTTTTTTTTCTCCCCCCCCCCCCCCCCCCCACTAAGCTAATACACAAATGCATACATCCCATAATAGTTTGCTCCCAAGCCAGACACACAATAGAACAATAGGATGCAGCCACATGACATTAAACAATCAACAACCCCCCCACCCCAATATTGGGACAGATCACCCTGTACCCCTAACAGGCACAGTGTGATTCCCACATAAGTGGGATATGGGGAGCTGAGACAGGGGTCTCTCCAAAGTGACCTGGGTTCCATGCCCCCACCCCCACCCCAAGTGACTCCCTTCACTTACTATGGAACGTAAAAGGTTAATCCTCTGCATTGGGTTATTGGAAGCCAAATTTTTTATTTTTTTTTATTTAAAACACCATGTATAAAAATACAAAGCCATCTACAACACTGCCCCTAGCTACATCACCAACCATCTGCAGATATCACCCACTTCTCCCAAGACATCTTGTTCTCTAGCTCCCTCGTCACCACCTCCCACGCTCACCTCCAGGACTTCTCCAGAGCCTCTCCCTACACCAGTATGTCCAGTCACAACCACCGCCCCCCCAGTCTGCCTTTATTCGATACTTGAAAGCTCACTTATTCAGGGAAGCCTACCCAACCCCCCTTAAGAACTGTACTTGAGTCACCATCATCAGATCATCCCATGCAGCTATCCCTTTTTGTACCACCTCCCCCTTCCTTTAGATTGTGAGCTCAACAAGCAGGGCCCTCTTATTCCTTCTGTACTGAAATGTATTGTAATTGCACAGAGCTTTACAATATAAAGGGAGACCGTACAAACTTTTGGCAATAGATAAATCCTGTATAATAATCCTGACTTCTCTGATCCTCCCCTTCCGCATTTAGTCTCTTGATGGAAAACCGCCGCGGACACTCGCACAAGATAAAAACCTCTAGCAGTACACACCCAACTCTGCATGTGCAGAATGCATGTGATCAGCCCAGGGCCAATCAGCACTGTCCAGACAGAGGGTCAGGGGTTATGCAATCTCATAGGGCAGTGAGGAGAGAACAAACTCCTCCAAGCTTCAATCTGTGCTTTTCTGGACACTGATAGAGGTTACAAGACTGCTATATACCACTGAGAGTATTTAGCAGTTTTATATTGACTAAAATAATTGCATTTCCATGTTCTGTGTGGGAGACCAGATAAAGTGAATGCAGGGTCCTGGGTTTAGTAACACTTTAAAGCCAAATTCCAGCTTTATCCACTTCACTAAGAAATGTGACTATTGTCAGTGCTGTATGGACAAGATCTACATACAGTATCATTGGCTATGTACTTTGCTATATTCCAGCAGCATTACAGGGACTTTCTGTCCCATTAGATAACGAAGTGGTACAGGGACTTTGTCCCCAGAACAAAATCATGTTGGGCTGAGGGCTGCTCAGCCAACCATTCATAGGAAGCCTTGTATTGTGAATAGCTGAGGTGGAGGTCCATGATGTGAAAACTCATTCTTTAAAAATACAAGGCTTTCTATAAATGGCTGGCTGAGCAGTGCTCAGCTTGACTTTTTTGTTCCTGTGCCAGAAAGTCCCTGAACAATGCTGTATATTGTATGTATCTGATGCATATAGTTTATACAGTGCACACAGCAGCCACATTTCATAGTGAAGGAAGTAGTTGGTTTGGGCTAAGCTGGTCCACACAGACCAACTATCTTAAAGTGGTGGCAAAGCTGGATTAAGGCTTTAAGTAGTGATCTATGGGCTGGCAGATGGTACCACAGCACACACTATCCAGCTCTCCCAGAAGTAGGCAAGAGGTTCTTCACACACTGTAGTTCTTTACAAACGCTGATCTCAGTTGGTCTGGAAGTATGTATTCTGTTTTTTTTTTCTTCTTTTTTTTTTTTTTTTTTTTTTTTTCCCTACATTTGTTGTAGATGTCGTGTACATTGCAAACTTGATGAGCTTTTTATTTTATCTGGTTAAACTCGGCCTGTTTTTGTTCCTGCAGCTGAGTCATAACTATCCAGAAGAGGCACAGATTGCGCATCAGAAACCCCGCCCCACTGTGGAGAAGGTCACTCCTCCGAAGAGACTCTATATTATCCAGCAGCCACGTAGATGTTAGTTCAGATGTATGAAGTGGCTTGTTGCTGATGTTCTCCAGGAGGGACCAACGTTTTTGTCTACAGGGAAAAAAATATTTTGTATATTTCCAAAATAAAGTTGTGATATTGCTTTTGTCTCCATGTTTAATTATTACCACTTGGGTTATTTTGTAAAAGTGGCATACCTGCTGTCTTCTCCTACAAATGTTTTCTGCACAACATCTAAGGAATATACATTTAAAAAAAACTATGCATTAACAAAAGTGATATGCCAGATGATGGCTGCAAAATTTGTGTTGTGGTTTGTTTTGCTCCACAAAAAAGTTACTCAACATATGGATTTCAGCAAAACAATCTATAGTGTTGGAAGTGTAGGAATAATTTTATTGTTTCCAAATATTTAAATAAAAAAAATATATATATTTTTCCCCTTTTTATGAAACGCCCAAATAAAGATGGGGAAAATGCAGCCCTGGGATAACCAACTTTGATGCTACAGAAAGCTGGGTTTTAAAGCATGTCAAGGAAATAGCTGCTAAAACGAGTGCAAAGCTTTAAAGTCATGACATGGCAACCATGAAAGGGTTCCTGGTCTGAGACCAAAAGTAAATCTTTATTCCTTGCCAATCAAGGCACACTTAAAAAAAAAAAAAAAAAAAAAAATTCTAAATCTTGAGGCACCCCATTCTAAAGTGTAAAGAACAAAACTAATAATTTTACATAATGCAGCAACATCCACACACGTAGGACACCCAACATTAGATGTGATATATTTTATTTATATATATATATATATATATATTATTTTTTTTTTTTTTTGTCTTTCAAAGCAAATATCTTTTTGCACACTGGTACTGAATATTATTCCAGCGAGTCTCTTCTTTCTCATTTTTTCTTCCTCACTCAGCTATTGTGACCCCAGTGCTGAAGGAGAAGGGCAAACCACAAGGATGCTGTGTAGGGACCCTAATGATATCATTGTTTTAGAGGCCAGTGGCTGGAAGGTTGTAATGGTGCACAATGAAAACTGTGGCTTTGTGTAACTAAGAGGCAGGCTTCATTCACCTGTTTGGCTTGTATACAATTTTGGAGTAATTTTGCCAAGGCATCCCAGGATGAAAAAATGCTGCCTTAGTCAAAACACTGTATAGCCAATAAAAACAAAACAATGCTTATCACTTTTTGGCACAGCATCCCCTTAGTGATAGTAGTATGGATCCTACGTTGTATAACTGCCTTATTGGCGTAATTCAGTGACATAAAATTAAACATGATAAATTGCAGAAGACAAAGCATAAGACTGGGGTTAACAATGTACCAACAACCCAAAGACCATAAATGCAGTCATGGTTGCAGGAGAACCTGACGGGCTTAGACCTCAATGTCAACTCGGGTTTCATGACAGGGCTTAAACTGATGTTTAGCAGTTCCCTTCCAGGGGGCACTTTTCTTAACCGAATGAGCAAAAGATTGTACACATGTATGCCAACTTACTTGTGGTTGTAATTGTATCTGAAGAGCAAGAATTGTCCTGGAAGGGGCTGAGGTGTGTGAATTACTTTTGCAACACTCAGAATGTGTGTGTGTGTGTGTGTGTGTGTGTGTGTGTATATACAGTTGTGTTCAAAATAATAGCAGTCAGACATCACTAACCTGATCAATCACTGTTTTTGGTAGAAATGATATTTCTACATGGCAAATAATATACTAGCAGGTGTAGTAGAGTAATAGAAATCCAACAGTCATGACATGCATGCTGCTGATTCTGTGTAATTGAATCACTAATTGAAAGGGGCATGTTCAAAATAATAGCAGTGTGGAGTTGTATTAGTGAGGTCATTCATTCTTTGAAAAACAGGTGGCAAGTATTGCCCTTATTTAAGTAAGGAAGGCAGCAAATGTTGTACATGCTGGTTACAGTGCATTTCTCTCTGAAATTCTGAGGAAAATGGTTCGTTCCAGACATTGTTCAGAAGAACAGTGTACCTTGATTAAAAAGTTGATTGGAGAGGGGAAACCTATAAAGAAGTGCAGAAAATGATAGGCTGCTCAGCTAAAATGATCGCAAATGCTTTAAAATGGCAACCAAAACCTGGAAGATGTGGAAGAAAGCGAAAAACTATCATTTGAATGGATAGAAGAATAGCCAAAATGGCAAGGACTCAGCCAACAATCAGCTCCAGGAAGATCAAAGAAGGTCTAAAGTTACCTGTGAGTACTGATACAATTAGAAGACGCCTATGTGAAGCCAAGCTATCTGCAAGAAGCCCCCGCAAAGTCCCACTGTTGAAAAAAAAGACGTGCTGAAGAGGTTACAATTTGCCAAAGAGCACATTGACTGGCCTAAAGAGAAATGGCGCAACATTTTGTGGACTGGTGAAAGTAAGATTGTTCTTTTTGGGTCTAGTGGCCGGAGACAGTTTGTCAGACGACCCCCAAACACTGAATTCAAGCCACTGAAGACAGTGAAGCATGGTTGCGTAAGCATCATGATATGGGGATGTTTCTCATACTACGGTGCTGGGCCTATTTATCGCATACCAGGGATCATGGATAAGTTTGAATACATCAGAATACTTGAAGAGGTCATGCTGCCTTATGCTGAAGAGGAAATGCCCTTGAAATGGGTGTTCCAACAAGACAACGACCCCAAACACACCAGTAAACGTGCAACATCTTGGTTCCAGACCAACAAGATTGACGTTATGGAGTGGCCAATCCCCAGATCTTAATCCAATAGAAAACTTGTGGGGTGACATCAAAAATGCAGTTTCTGAGGCAAAACCAAGAAATAGAGAAGAACTGTGGAATGTAGTCCAATCATCCTGGGCTGGAATACCTGTTCACAGGTGCCAGAAGTTGGTTGACTCCATGCAACACAGATGTACAGCAGTTATCAGAAACAATGCGACTACAACCAAATATTGATTCAAAGGAAAGCAAAATCTTCAAACATTTTTCAGTTTCTATAGTGAATGTTTGAGTTTGTAAAGAAGAATACAAACACTGCTATTTTTTTTTGAACAGTCTAATATTCACTTTTCTTCATTTTTTTTAGAGGAACACACAACTTTGATATTTTTTTCTTCATGTTTTGATTTGGAATAGAATGTGTAGTTGTAGTTATGTTGTGTAGTTATTAGAAGGATTTTGAGCTTTATTCACTTTTTTCAACACACTGCTATTATTATGTCACATTCACCTGTTCCTTGCTATATCACCTGGCCTTCTCTCTGTATGCAGTGAATCATGAAGGGGATGCACTCTTAAGCTAGCATGTGGCCTGCTCAGTGTTCAAGCAACGCGTCCACATGCTAGTAGAGCGTTGCCAGGAGTATTAGCAGGTTGGCATACCACATCCTGTGGGCTAGTCCAGAGCAGTAAAGATCCTGGCCTCTTTGGTCTGGTCTTTTGATTTCCTTTGTGTCAGTCAGCAGTGGCTGCCTGGAGCAGTGACATCATCCATAGGCTTCAATGGACCATTCAGTGTTGGTGCTCCTTCCTCTCCCCTGAAGCTTCACTGGCTGACCCAGGGTAGCTGGACTGGAATGGCCTGAAGGCGGGTGGGTATGTATATCTTTCTTACACAGGTTGGTTTGCTTGGGAGGGGACAGTTATTTGGCTAGTTAGGGTTTGCCTGGAATTGCACTTTAAAGTGGAATCATTTGCAAAATAAAACATGACACAAGGGATGCAGTCTTTTGTGAGGTGTGGTGGTAGTGGGTGAGGAGGGGGGAGTGCTGTGTTAATATAGATAAAAAGTGAATGTTTTATTTTGCAAATATTCCCCATTGCTCCTGAGCCTGACACAACAATAATGTTTCTGGTACAAAGCATGACCAATTATTTATAAATATAATAAAAGCTTAATCTTTCTAAGTTTGGTTTGTCCTGGTGCTACAAAATGAAATAAAAACAAAGAAAGCTTATATACAGTACAGAAAAATAGTGAATTTAAAAATAAAATCATCATTCCAGTAACAGAACCTGCTTAGAGAGCTTATAGGGGTTGATTTAGAAATGCGTCTAAATCTACCTTGCCTCTGAAGCCTGATCCGCATTTGGAACGCGCTGCAGGGGCTACTGAGATGTATTGTGCGTGGTTGTGGAGTGCTTGCAGCGCTTCCTCATATACTTGAATATGTAGCATCTGGCAGGTTTGCCCCCCCAATCATTACATGTTGGGTGAACTTTGCAGTGGGCGTGAAGCATCACGGCACGGCATGTGAATATCCCTTTCAGATTCCTATTGCAGTTTAAATGGGGGGCAGTTGGTGGGCAACAAAAATGCGCCTCAAGCACACATATTTGCCGCCCACAAACCACAAGTCTAAACGAAGCCTAAAGGTGGTAAATATCAACAGAAGGTGAAACAGGCGCTTCTAAGTGCAGTATTCCAGGTCAACATTAATAAAAACCGGTTAAAACACTTACAATGTGGTAGTAAAAAAAGTCTCTAATGTAATCCGTCAGTAGGAGGGCTCTGTCCTCTAAGTGATGGAGCCATTGTGCCAGCCAGCAGCTGCAGGGAGAGCTTGAGGAGAGGTGTTAAAGATGGCCGCTGTTCTGTTTGGACTGCTGGAGCGGTAAATATCAACAACTTACAGCTGGGGCCCACTGATTTTACCGGCAGAGGGGGTGCAACAGGAGGGTGTATCCTAGGTGCACCACCCAACTTTAGATGGCTAAACTAGATAATTTATTTAGATTTTTGAGTATATAGATTACTCCTAACAGGTCACGTCACAATGAACATCCAACTAAACACAGCAGGCATGTCACAGTCAACCTACTTTCTCAGTAACAGGTTTTTACAGTGCATCTTAAGACATATTTTTTTTTAGTCTTGTAAACGGTAGGGAAGGGTTAAGTCTGAACTCTAGAAGAAGCCTATCCTGCCTAATAAATGAATCCTCTATTTCTCCTATCAGTTTATCCCGCCAGTTATTACCTTTTGCACTATCAGCTCCTCCCTATTAGATTGTAAGCTCCCAGGAGCAGGGCCCTCCTAACCTTCTTGTATTGAACTGTATCATTGCTGTATTGTCTCCCTTTATATTGTAAAGCGCTGAGCAAACTGTTGGCGCTATATATATCCTGTATAATATTAATATCTGGTGCAGCACTTG